GGAAATCGTTTCCCTATACTTTTACGTAGTCATTTCAATACATTTACTGCTTTCTGTAGTAATTTGATGCTCAACTCACCACCAAGGCTTCACTGAATTGCGCAGCCATGTGCTGTCTTACTTTGTGGATGCAAAGCATGATCATCAAAAGAGATCTGAACAGACTCTATAACTGTCTTCATAGTAATATGTTAACACTCACACTTTTATTTATTAATTCATTCAGTTGAACAATTCACGCAATCCATTATAAAATCACAACTTATCTTTATTTTACGCATTTCCAAAAGTGTAAAAATGTTATTGGTCATTCTACGGAACACCCAATCGAAAATTTACAGTGTGAATGATGAGTAACTGCATGATTAGAAGAAAAACATCAATTTGATGAAATATGCAGGTAAGTTACTGTTGTTCATTATAATGAAGGTTTTTGTGTTTCCCAATGACTGAAAAACAAAACGATATTGTTTTCAATTAATGGATAATCCCCATCCAGGCATTAATGAAAACAAAACACCTAGATCAGCGAAGAGTCTCTTCGGTGAATTCATTTTCTTAGCTGTACAACCGCAAATATATATGTTATTTTGTATGTATGTGTACATTAAGTTTGTCAAAATTACAACTGGTTATGGTTGTTTTAAATAAACAGGTGAAGATTGGTAGTACAAGTCAGGAAAATTAGGTAATAATGAAATTAGGGTAGTAACAAACATGATGACTTGTCACAAACTGATGTTTCGCTATTTAATGCTAATAGCTTTATCAAAGTTACTGTTGCTCTAATCAAAAATGAATCACAACATACGTATAACGGTCGAACCTTTGTTTTTTTTCAGATAGCTACAATACTTTCCCAATTCAGAGCAATCCAGTTACTGGGTACAGATACTGACCTACACTTATATCACATTTCTTAAACTGAAGTAGATGAAAAGAGAATGGAACCCGGAACGCATTGGTTGTAAGTCAATACTAAAATTAATGAACCCCATTACTGTGATGCGAATATCCCTTTCAAAAATGATAAGTAAAATGTTTGCAAATTAGATATATTCACCTTGAATACGTTGTGATAAAAAGCATATGAACAATTAGAAATTGGTTAATATGGTGTGATTATTGTCAAGGAAACTCGTAGAGATGTTCAAGCTTTTAAGCCGTACACTTTGTATTATGGGACATACACATAAACAGAAAGAGTCAAACTTCAAATCTGAAGTTGATTGACAGACAGTAGCCTGTTTCAACTGAATAATCTCAGTTCAATAGTGTTAATTAGCACTAGTATACAGAAACCGGAAATACCCGATAATCAATAGCCATTGAGTAAATAAGACTTACACGTTTGCTGAAATTCCTAATAACTCAACCTATCAGAAACTCAAGCGAAATAGAGCATACAAGTGTAGCGAAAACTACGTCAAACAAAATCCATTACATTAATAACGCAAAATATGCAAAGTTAACACTTACATTTTGAAAATGCTTTTTGACTAATCCAAGACTTTCCGGATGGTTCTGATGCAATAGATTGATGAATGTGTCAAAATAATTCTCAAAGTTATTTTTAACTTCCAGAAATGTAGTGTGCAGATTAATATTAGTTGTCATCGTACGACTTTCAACAGAAACCGGTATCTATAAGAGAATTTACAATAAAGTAGGTTCAAATAGCAAAGCATTGTACAGTATATAAAGTGAAGGACTATATATATATATATATATATATATATATATATATATATATATATACAGAAAACTGGGTTCCCCAGTTTTGGTTACAATTCTCAAAGTATACTACATACCTCCGCTTTTACTTTATTTATAGTACTACACATTTTGTACCTATGCTTAGGGACCCAACTAGACATGTTCTAAAGCTTTTTTGTCATGATCTTCTCTTTTGCGAATTATGGTGACATTGCATTTATCAGCTTTAGTTATGACAGTATTTTTGTCCAATCTTCAAGTTTGTAGTGCATGACCTTAGTCCTTCGACAAATTTGTAGTTGACTGCTTTTGATCTGACAGGACACATCCAGTTTATTTTTATTTTCTTCTCTGGCTTTGTGTGCTGAGTGAAGTGTGGCGACTCTAACTGTTGCACACCGGTGTAAAGTTCTATGTTGAAACCAGACAGACAAATCTAACCTTAAAACACAATTCATTAGCTTTATCATCAGGTGAAACGGTTAATGCAGGATCAATGATCAGATTTCAGATTTATTGGTTGAGGATAGAAGGCTTGGAGCCTATGTTAATCCTTTTTTAGTAGATTTCTGTGGTTGTCCAAACTCTTTCTGAACGAATCAGTTGAGGTTGCAGACACCACTTCTTCTGGGAGTCGGTTCCAAGAGTTTATGACTCGATGTGAGAACCAGTACTCAACAGCAATATGATTTCTCTTAGGCTTTTGAACTTTCCTGCTATGTCCTCTAAGGTGTTCCTACCTGGTGGGAAGGAAAAGAGAGAATAGGTCAGGTCCGTAGTCATTATTTAAAATTTTAAACATTGCGATTAAATCTCCTCTTTGCCTACGATATGATAGTGAGAAGAGATTTAAACTGTCTAGTCTGTCCTCGTATGATAAGTTAGCTATGCCGTGAACCATACGTGTTGCCTTCCTTTGAACACTTTCTAGAATTAATATCAGTAAAAAGTTTGAGCATTGTGGATTAGATCAAATAAAGAATAATTATATTTTAATAGTTTACACACAATGATAAGTTTTGTTATTGGTAATATTTCGAGCAAAATTACTGCCCGTGTTCACACCACTGTTGGAATTGTTTTATTCACACATTTATGATTTGTACTCACATATATAGTCCATTATTATTTTTTTGTTCATTCATGTTTTGTGTGTGCATATGTGTGTTCAGAATTATACTCCACATTCATTCATGTGTTTGCATTTAGAATTATATTCCAAGTTGTTGATAGTTGTACTGAGTCACCCTTGTTACATGTATCCGGTGTGACTTTAATGAATATCGATTCTGTTATGAGTCTTTCTTTCCATTTGTTCATGTTTGTTTTTAGAATACACACATTGTCCCAATCGATATTGTGCTTTTTGTCCCATGCATGTGCAGCTATAGATGAATTTTTTTCAAGATTTTTGTAAGCTTGTGTCCCTGTTGGTTGACCTTTAGTTAGGCGTTTATGTTCATTCACTCTTATTTTGAGTGATCTGGACGTTTGCCCCACATATTTAGTTGGACAGTCAGCACAAGATATTTTATAAATCAAATTGTTTTTATCCATCATTTTTATGGGATCTTTCAGTTGATGTACATCAGAGGCAATACAAAGAAACCTCAAAAATATCGGCATTTGAATAACCTTTAAACCTACAAATCTCATCAAAAATAAAATAAATCAACTGAAAATATAATGACTGTTGGACGCCGGTAGGAATTCCTATGTTCTAGAATCTGTCGGAAGGTGAAGATATGATCAATACACCCTCTTCCTGGTCTAAAGCCTGCCTGGCTCTCTCGTGTTTGTGCTTCCCGAGCACCACTCAGTCTACGCATGATTATTGAGCCTAGGATTTTAGATACCATATTAGTCAAGCTAATCCCTCTGTGATTATCACAGGAAGACTTGTCTCCCTTCTTGTATATGGGGATACTCAGTGACTTACACCAACCCGATGGGACTTCTTCTGATTCCCAGACACTGCCTAGTACCTCAGTTAATCCAGGCAGTAAACTGTCTCCACCGTACTTAAATACCTCTGGAGTCATTCCATCAGGTCCCGCTGCTTTGCCTAGTTTCAGATTGGTGACAGCTATAGAAACCTCAGTTAGGGAAGGAGGACCTGTGTCTTTATCCCATTCGGGTGTGTGTTGGATGGCGGGGAGGTTCAGTGTGGCTGTAGGCAGGTTAAATTGGTCCTCAAAGTGTTCTTTCCAGCGTTCGAGGCGTCTGTCCTAAGAGCTACTTAAGGAGCCATTTTTCTCAGAAATAGTCTCACTTGTGATTTGGCTCCTCCCTCCTGTTTCCTTGATGAGTCTAAAGAGTTCCCTAGTGTTGCCTATCGCCGATGCTTTTTCCATCTCTTTCGCCTTTGTCAGCCACCACTGTTCACGGTCCTTGCGAAGACTTTTCGGAAGTTTCCTCTTGTGCAGCTTTCGCTCCTCATTGAATTCGGAGCTCGCCGGAACAAGTCTTCTAGCATCTATCAGTTCGGATGAGGCGGTGGAGATCCAGTGGTTTTTACTCACCTTTGGGTTTACCTTATTCACAGCTTTTACAGCTGTATCTATAACTGACTGAATATTCTTCCAGGCTTCTTCAGGGTGAGTACAGCTGTCGAACACAGATATGTGTTTAGCTAGTTCTTCCTCAAATACGGATTTAGTTTCCTGACCGAGCTGGGGACGTGATGGTTTTACCGCCAGCTGTTTCCTACGTCCGTTCAGTCGTAAGCACACACGAGCGCGGACCAGTGTGTGATCGGTATCTACACACGTGTTCTACAAGGAGCGACAATCTCCTACCGACCCACGCCAACGATAGCTTATTGCTATGTGGTCTATTTGTGTCCAGCGTTGGTTTGAAGAAGGGGGTCTCCAAGTCAAACAGTGTCTCTCCTTGTGTTTGAAGTTAGTGCTTACAAGAAACAAATGATTATCTGAGCAGAACTGTAGGAGGCGGTCACCGTTGTCGGTTTGCTGGCACGGAACTCCATAGGTGCTACCGACTTCCTTCTCAGATTGACACAATTTCCCTACTTGGGCATTAAAGTCACCCGCTAGAACGACTATGTCTGAGCGTTTAGCCTTTCGCACCAAACTAGACAGCTTTTGGTAGAACTCATCCTTCGTTTCATCTGAACTGCAGTCAGTGGGGGCGTAGGCGGAGATTACGAAAAGGCATCGGCGAGTAGTGCAGTCCTTCCTCCTTCTTACTGATCCGTTCAGGCGGACAGCACACATTCGGCTATCTACGGGCGTCCAACAGTCATTATATTTCTTGACCTAAAGGCAGCATTCGACTCTGTCGATCGGGAAGTTCTCTGGAGATGCTTGGCTGTAAAGGGAATTCCAAGAAAATATATTGCACTGATTAAGGCACTCTACTCGTACTCATACAGCCCGGTGAGGGCTTACGGCGAGCTGTCATCTGAACTGATGACGACCAGTGGTGTCCGTCAAGGATGCCCATTATCTCCTTTTCTATTCAACTTCATCATAGATGTGTTAATGGACTTAACCTTAAGTGACTTCAGCTACTCAGGGATTGACTTGCTACCGGGGAATAATCTCGTTGACTTGGAATATGCAGACGATATAGTCCTTCTAGGCGAAGACGCTGACGAAATGCAGAGTCTTCTAAACACCTTGAGCCGCAATCTACGAATGTTTGGCATGCGATTCGCTCCCGCCAAATGCAAGATGATGTTACAGGACTGGACTACATCGACGCCTAGTTTAAAAATAGGAACTGAAGTGGTAGAGCACGTTGACCGCTTCACTTATTTGGGAAGTACCATCAGCCCCAACGGGCTGATCTCTGACGAAATCTCAGCACGAATACAAGGGGCTCGTTTCGCATTTATTAGTTTACGCCGACTCTGGCGTAGACGAGATGTTCGACTATCGACCAAAGGGCGGGTGTACTGCTCATCAGTCCGCTCCGTCCTCCTTTATGGCTGTGAGACCTGGCCACTGAGAGTGGAAGACATGAAAAGACTAGCTGTCTTTGATCATAGGTGCCTGCATTCTATTTCCCGTGTAAAGTGGCATAATAAGGTGAGCAACATGGAGGTTAGGCGTAGAGTTCTGGGTAAACAGGGGAAATCAATCGACGAAGTCGTGAAGCTACAAAGACTGAGATGGTTAGGACATGTGTTACGTATGCCAAGCCATCGCCTTCCTCGACGAGCTATGTTAGCGGATATAGGGTCAGGCTGGAAAAAAGCTAGCGGCGGTCAAACAAAAACTTGGCATCAGTCAATGAAATCCACAACAGTTGGCCTTAGCCACGTAGGAAGGTGTAGACTTCCAGGCTGGGGTCCTCGGGACGGTAAAAATCTATGGTTGGAAACAATTGGTGACATGGCTCAAAACCGTTCTCAGTGGCGCAGATGCATCCACTCCCTGTGACTTATGATCTTCAATGAAACTGTTTTGTATTTCTTTATTACTCCTTTGTCTCACACCTCTGCTCACTGTTTCTATTATGCTTTTCTTGTACTTTCTTCTCTTGCATGGCGTGCTACACGGAATGTGGCGACTTGAACTTCCGCACATTTGTGCAAAGTTCTATGTCGAAAACAGACAGACAGGTATTATAGTGAGAAGAGATTTAAACTGTCTAGTCTGTCCTCGTATGATAAGTTAGCTATGCCGTTAACCACACGTGTTGCCTTCCTTTAAACACTTTCTAGAATGTATGAATCCGCTTTTAGACGAGGACTGGGCAGCCTAGGTGTCTTGAATGTGGTGGGTGTTCTTCTGTGCTGTAGGGCACTCACTTATTGGCAAGGACGCATCGGGGTCATGTGCTGTTTTGTCATTGACGCTAGTCACGTCATCGTTATCTGAGCAATAGTCGGTATTCTTCTGTGGTGGAGGACGCTTGCAGTCCATGAGCTTTAAAGCCCCACTGAGAGTAGCACTGACTTCTGTAATACGGAGTTTAGTTATACTACAGCAGTCATGGCACAACCAGTTTGCTAGAGGTTTTCAGCGGCGTCTGTATGCTGCAGGAGTAAGGTTCTTGCATATACTATGAAACCGTCTCTTGCAGCTATCACACTGCATTCCCTCATCCACTGGAAACTGGCACATAGCCCTTCCGCAGCGGTTTCTCTTGATAGGCATTTTATTTAAAACGAACCAGGAAAAAATAAAATACAACTTCAAATAAACCTTTATAAATCAGTGATAAAAGCTAATGAGTGCGCAAAAATAGATATATATATAGCTATTAAGTTATAAGAACACAAATTCCTGTAATTTAATAGACTCAAATCTGAAACGTAAACTAACGTCGATCAGAATAAACTGATTTAAAGTTAATCCATGGACTTTTGGAGCATATAATACAACAAAAGCCAATAATAAACAAGAGGGTGATTTTACACCCTGTAAAATTAACTCCCCTTTTCAAAGTTCGCGCGTGAAATTGATGGGAGCTATTGACTGAAACTATCCAGCATGCTCAAGGTCATTGGCGGAGTGAGACGCTGAAAGGTCATTTTCGTCCGTATTAGTCGGTCATGTTAGATTGCATTTCCGTGGTCGTTTGTCTAAACATCGGTTTTCCCGTTTATCCTGCATTTATTCACAACTTATCTTCATGCGCATTGTTCACAAATGTGTTTCACCTCATTTTTGTTTCCGTTGCTGGTAAAATTACTAATTTCGTATGTTTCGGAAGTTTTTACCACCAGGACAGTGCATTCGTTCCATTACAATTGTTTCACACGTTGTTTTCATGCCTGGTTGCAATGTTTTAGTTGTTTTTCAGCTAATGATGAAGTAGTTCTGTGTGGAAGTTTAGGAAAATATTCACGTGAACGTGTTAAGCTGACAAAAGCCGTTATTTTTAGTCCATTTGCTGGTTACCGTTATCGTTTCTTGCTCAACTGATTAATTGGTATGTAGAAATCTGGAAAAAGCAATGTCTTTTGCATGCATGTTCACAGCTTGCAGCAACCTGCGAGTCAATCTGGTGAGGAGAATACGATCAGGTTTGATATTGGCAAGGTTTATGAAGAGCATATGAAACCTGGAGATTTCAGAACTCGGTTTGAAGTTGAAAAAGCTTTGAATCTTTTCGAAAAGCTGAGTATACCATCAGTGTATATTATCAGTTAAAGAATCAGATATATTGTCAGAGAATCTATATCAAACAAGGTTGAGTCACATGAGAAGTATGAATCTGTTGTACCTCTATGTAGTTTTGGAACTGAAGGAAACTTGAAAGTAATGAGAAACCCCTGAATGGTAAGTGTTACCTATCCTTATTAATTCCCAATGTACTAGATCCAAATACATGAACTAAGACCAAAGCGAAGCCATTGTTAACGACCATTCAATGTGTTGCAAAACCACTTCAAAAGCGGATATCATGATGATCTGTTGAGTGTACGAACTATCCCAATTAAAGTTAAGAATTAGCGAGAATAACAATCGGGTTGTGGTCTACAATAAGCTGAAGAGCTGATTATTATTCGGGGTGAAAATATTGGCTGAATACAGATTGCTTGTTTCATTTCAAATAATGAAAGTCCTATTTTGTGGATGTTTGTGATTTCTCCATGGCTATAAATACGGATGCCCATGGTCTTTACGAAAACTAAGTAAATTTTCCTGAAACCATTGGTTTTCTTTTTCTTGGTGAAACATCTGTTAATAATTTTAGAAGATTAGGTATCAAAGTAGGATTTTCTGTGATTTAGAATCGTAGTTGTCGTGTTACGGATTAATATCGCGCTTGTAACTGTTATAACCCTATGGATATAGGTTTTCCCTCATGGTACATTATGATATCTAGAAGTCATAAGCATACCGTCTTCGGTAAATTTATTCTTACTTTTTAAGTGACTGCAAATAATGAGTCATTTGAGGTGATAGGATGAATACCTCTAAACGCTTTTGTGAAGATTAGGATAAATTAATTTTTTCGACTAGGAGACGATTTTTTTACCAAGGTCCCCAGGATGTCCACTTTTCATTCTCATTTTTTTCACGAGGGACGCCAGTTTACAGGCATCATCAATTCGATAAGTTACGCATAATATTAATAACCATATTTAGTAAAGATAACATAATAAGGTACTTTAGAAATCGCTTAGACATGGGAAGACCAGGATTGGCCAGAAGAAAGAATTAATCCAAGATTCTTAACGTCTAACTTGATTTCTATATTACTCATCAATTATACAACGGTAATGGGAATTAACAGCTCCATTTAAGTTTCCTTTACATCTAAAACTGGAATTAACTGCCTGACATTTGGAAGGATTTAGTTTAAGGCCGTTAGACGAAGACCATTTGCTAACTCCTGATAGAAAGCTGCTCATTTTAGTACTGTTTAGCTGGGAGTTGACAGACACTGAAATAGTTACATCATCGGCATACTTAACAAAGTAGATATTCAAACACTGCAGTTGTTGATCATAGAAATGATGGATATTAGATAACATCACATGATTTAACAGCATATCAGAAATAAATAAAAATTGTTTCTTAACTCGTCGCCAAGTAGACAGTCTATTTGAGGATGCCACTGCATATTAACTGATTAATGAAGTTGATATCAACCCTAATCTCCTACATTTACTTGTGCTATATATGTTATATTAATACTAAGTAAAGTTCTCATACAATTAAAAGTATTTGTAGCCCACAGCTGGTCTTTATATTGACGCCGTATGCATAAATAGACCCCATAAGTTGTCCAGCATTAGAGGGTTACACGCAAATTTCAAGATGAACTCTGAAACACCCATGTTGTTGAGAGGTCATTCTCTCATCAATTTCATACTGAATACGTCTACTGTAAATGAGGTATTGCAAATGTGTAGCTTTGAAATTGATCCACAATCTCAGTAGTGTCTAGTGAGTATAGTTTTCTGAGTCCTACAGAAATTACATTCTCATATTTAGGAATCTGTAGTCATCAAATATAAGCTGAACATGCCTCAACTCTAGGCAACTATGCACAGTGTTAACAACATAGAGAAACACTTAAAATATTGTAAGATACGCAGACCTGTTGTGTTGATGAGGATAACAATGAAATATAATGCAACCTAGACATTCAATCGTGGAACTGCATCTGTACTGTTTCAGGTAAATGGAAATTTCAGAAGAAATCCATCTCCACTATTGGTGATCAAAAACATTGCAGTATTAGGTTTACAGTGTCAGACGGTATACCGTCTATAGATTAATAATAATAAAGCTAATTCTCGTAATCAAGACAATGCATGTGTATATTATTACTATACACTGAATAATTGCACTAAGTGAATCAGTGAGGAGTATTAAACGAGTTATTGCCTTCTCAAATGCGCTGCACTTGCAACAATTACGAGAACCACCTACGTTTGTTAGCCTAGCAGCAGCTAAGCACACAATGGCACAATATTAATAAAGGTATCTTTTATACATTGAAATCGCGTAGCCCATATTATACTGCGCCAATCAGTGTAAATATATATTAAAACCACCTAGAGATAACCTTTCAACTTACCACTATTTCTAATCAAACACACATACGGTGAAAGACAAACCTACATCATAACTTCTGTTTCCACAGGGGGTTCTGTTGGTATTTGTAGGTGATTCCCATGTATTGATGGCATTCTTTTGCCAAATAGTACTGTTTTTCACACGAAAACAGCCACATTCAGACGTGGTCTTCATTGAATGATATGTCGAAAGCTGCAGCTTCTACGAGAAGTAAACTATTTGTGTAGACGGCACTACTCTCCAGCTACCCCATCTTTTTCATTATACCGATGTTTTAACTCATTCAGTATGAAAAACTAATCGTTACAACCCATACGCTTAGAGTGTATCGCACTATGATTACATGACGCAGCCACCAACATAACTAGTCGGGAAAAGAAAATTCCTATCAATTCAGAAAACACATACCAAAATTTTCTGAAAATTATTGACAAAAAAAATTTACCGAGCGAAATTTAATCAACATGCCGGATAAGTCCAGCCGAGCTATTCCCATCACTTTCAGCGATTTTCTAGTTATGTGAAAGTTTATTTCCTTCCAAGTAACACCACTTCATGTTCACTGAGCTTAAGCTTTTTCAGGCACTTTATCAAATGAAGTAGTGGTTTGTTTCGTGAGTTTATTAGTTGGCTGAGTGATTAGGTTTTTCTCTTGGTTGGCAACAATTATTTCTTATCAGTGATAAACGTTATAGTAGTAGTAGTACAAAAGTGGTTGTAAGATATAAATAATGGAGTTTAGCTCACAGGAATGTCACCGCGTGGAAAT